GTTTGGTGTTGAAGACTATATGTGTTTTTGATTATTCGTGTCCTGTCTGGTGATGAAAACTATATGTGTTTTTTTGGTTATTACATTTATTTTTGTAACTGAGAGACACAAATAGTATTGACAATGACATATAACTTATATATGATCACCTTATTTCATTGTTTCAAGCCACAACAGGACAAAAGCCAGAAGTATATGTGTTAAAAAAGCATTAAAGGGGCACTAGCTACGAGATGTATAAAAAAAAGTTAACATATTATTTTTTTTGTTCAATCATTGATGAAAGTGAAATAGTGAAATAATAATTCGCTTTTAGCGGCCAGTATGATTCAATTTTGTCAAAATAAGCTAAGAAACATCGATGACGAATTATTCACTTGCAAGTGAATAATTCGACATCATTGAATCCGTATTCATGTGACCTTCAATTTAACCCCTTAGCTAAAGATGGATTACGCATGAATTATGCGTGTTCAGTTATTAAAAGGAAAAGAATGGCAACATTGAGAGTGAAATAAAGGTAAATCATTTAATTGACTGATTCGATCCACAAAACCTCATTCTTATACAGGTAATCTAATAAAAAATGTTTTTCATCTTCTAATATGTAACATTTAAGGCATAACCTCTGCTCTTTAGGAATATTAGAATGTCTCCTTTTTTCTATATTTAAATTATGGTCACTAATTCTTAGTTTTGTTATTAATTATAAAATTGAGAATGGAAATGGGGAATGTGTCTATATGCAAAGTTTGATGTTCTTAAATAGTCTTCAAAAATAGATTTGGTTTAAGGTTCTTATATAAATAAAGTTTACTTTTTTCATCAATATTTTGCATCTTATTATGAATTAAATTTTCAAAGTAGTTTTTAGAGCTTGTTTTTATATAACATTTAAATGAATTATTTATTTTTAGGTCTGAACTAGTATCTTGTTGTATTTGTGTTATATCGTAATTAAGTTCACTTTAAATATTTTCTATATAGGTAAACCAGGAGAATACTCCTTCTGTGTCTAAATTTTTGCTAAGCATGTAAGCTTCTTTCAAAAGAGGATTTAACTTTCAACATTCAAATCTCTTTAAATATAATAAAGTTTGTGCTTTAATATTTAATTCTATAGGTGGTTGCCCCAATTCAGCTCTAGTTGCATTATTAGATGCATTTTTCTAGTTCCCAGTAAAAATTTACAAAATTCCAAATGTATTTTTTCAATTGGACTTTTTTCAGAAAAATTTAAAATATCTACTTCTTTTCCAGAATTTAAAGCTCTATTTTTTGCTCTAAAAGTAGATATATATATATATATGTGTGTCTAAATATGATACTTCAGAGTTGTATATCATAATTGGTTTTATGAGGGAATCAAAGAGATGGCATGCTTCTTTTACTGGTAAATTATTCAAAGACTTTGTATAAGCTTTCAAACCAAATAAAGCTTTTTAGCTTTTTTTACTAGTTCTTTAGTACTATGAGACAGGTTGCCATTACACTTAAGTAATAAGCCTAAAAATGAAAATTCTGATACATTATTAATGCAAGTGTTTTTAAAACTTTTAAATGTTGGTTCCAGTTTAGAGCATGTCCTATCAAATATCATGGATTTTGTCTTTTAAATATTTAGTTCTATCTGCCATTTATCACAGTATATGGCTAAATTATTGAGACCATTCTGTAGTCCTGTTTAAGTTTCTGATAATATTAAAAGCAGGCAACTTAGTTTTGAGTCTATGATTCTTAGAAGATAACATAAATAATTTTCAAAGACCTCTGTAATATAATTAATGAAAATATTAAATAAAGTAGGACTCAGTGAATCACCTTGCTTTACCCCTCTTGTAATATCAAACACATCAGTTACCATGTTTTTGTATTTAAGTGAAGACCTAGTGTCATCATATTGATGTTTTATAATGTTTAAAAGTTTCTTTTCTACTCCCATATTATAAAGTTTGTACAAAAGAGCATCTCTATTGAAAAAGTAAGACGAAACGAAAAATGACAAAAAGACAAAGAGCTGCACATAGTTTTTATATCAATTTCTATAATCGCAAAAAAAAAAAAAGAAATACCCAAACTGTTATAAATGTATATTTTTTCCTTCCCAAACTAAACTTCGCAATACAACACCAGCCAAAACAACTAAGATAGAACGATTTAGGGCGTTGAATACAAGCATCAAAGGTCAAATAGACTTCTACCGTCAGACGGAAAGACTCGTGATAAAAGAGTTCATTTGACTGTGAAGGTGTATAAAAGCGCAGCCATGTCAGGTTTGAATGGGGACATCAACTCAAATGAATGCCTCATGTGGGATAAGTGCCACGTTATCTGCACCATAAAACTACATTGCATCAACTATTTGAGGATAGTACCGTAAACGTAGGTGATCTCTTTTTGTGCACGACAATCGAATTTAGGGCACTTCATCCCGGTCCGCTCCTACACAACTTACTCTTGTCACATGTATTGATGATTTGTTCTCGTCATAAATATGCAGTTCTTAAATCCACGTCGTACGGGCTCTGTTGGCTGATTGTCTAATTGGCAATATTCCTTATTTTATGTTAAAATGTTTGCCAATGTACTTTCAGTTAATAACAGTCATTGGCTCTGTTGGGTATGTTTCTCATTGGGAATCACATCACATCTCCTTATTTCATATTATTATGTTTGTCAAAGGACTTTCAGTAAATAGCAATCAAAAAGAAATTACACAAGCATGTTTTCATGATAAAGTAATAATATGTAGATGACCGTTGGAATATAATGTTTATTTATGTACATGCAATTTCCTTAATGGCAATCACGTTTTTAGTTTGAACTTTTCTGATTAAGATAAATCCAGAAAAATGCCTCACAGCACTATACGGATGGTGATGAACTGTAAGTCTCGGAGAGTATCAATAGCCAGGTAACAAGTGCTTAGACACTGACACTGATATGATATATAAGTCAGACTCAGATCTAAGGCAAGTCTTTCTTAACTCAAATTGACGTCCAGTCTGACATCATTTTTTTAAAAGTTTTGTTACCGTCTAATTGATGTCCAATGTAACGTAATGTATTACCAAAATCAATGTCCGATCAAGAAGAATCTACTCTTATCGATGTCTTATACCAAGGGATAATTAATTCTAAGTTTGATCGTTATATCTTTTCTCTATAGTGATGCTTTGTTTGAGTATAACGCTGGCTTATTAGAGGTTTTTCCGGAGGTCATACCTTACGATCCGTTCTACGAACTGGGAGCCGACTTTGAACAATAGAAAATGTGTTTACTCTTTATATCAGGACATGTTTTGTGATACCTATTTGTAAGCATTTTTGGAACTTTTATCTGCAACTCGATATTAATTTTACGTAGACAAGCAACCGTTGAACGAATAGGATGTGTCATTTTGTATTATTTTCGCTGAAATAGCTTTGGTCAAGATAGAAAAATAATGAAGCACTTTTAAGATTTATATCAGTTTCGCAAAAGTCTTTTAGCAATACAGAATAAATAGGTGACAATTGTTTAAAGTTAGAAAATATTAAACAAAAATCAGTGCCGTTTTAACTTACAAAAAATGCCCTCTTCCATAATGAATTAATTTCATTTTTACTGTCGTCCAACACTAATCATACTCCAGCAATGCTATCTGCATTATAAAAAAGTGGTCTTATATGTAGGAGATAATTATCAATAATAAAAATACTTAAAAGGGGAAAGAAGAAAGCAACAATAAAGTACCATAGAAGGTCAAGTTAGGAACCTCTGGCCTTTGTTAGTCTGGTATGGTTTTTTTTAACTTTTGGTTCATATATATGTTTCGGAATTTAGTGGGACTTCCATTTTACGCTGAACTAGTATACATTATTATTTAGGGGCCAGCTGAAGCCCGTCTCCGGGTGCGGAATTTTCTCCCTGTGTTGAAGACCAATTGGTGGCCTTGGGCTGTTTTCTGCTATTTGGTCGGGTTGTTGTCTCTTTGACACATTCCCCATTTCCATTCCCAATTTTATTAATTCATTTGTTATCCTCGTATCACCTCATTGAAGGACGCGGTGTAAGTGCAGATGTTTTTAATGCTTGTCATCTAAGCATCCTAATATGCAGATTTAATAAATCTAGATTAACTTGAATAGCGATAGAAATAACTTGTAGACTAAAATATATATACTATTGAGGTATCATGAGTACCATAAAGTGCCTGTTGATAGGGGTGTCAAATGGAAGTCATGTCTTTAAACCTCAGACTCCGTGTTCCTTTCTTATTTTATCGTTTTATTCCATTCTCCATATTATGGGCTATAACGTGCCGCTCCTTCAACATTTTATTTTACTCTGGGCTTCAGAGGTTGGGTCCGGGCTTCAGAAGGAACCATGGAACGAGTACTATAAACCCCCCAAAACAGTTCTTTCAGGTATAGTTTTCATAATATGTAGCTATATTTAAAGAGAAATCTAGTTAACTCTGTAAGAGTGTGTGTGTTTGTTTATGTATGTGCGTGAGTATGATTATTGTGTATCAATTCGATATTCCAGACACAATTTAAAGAATTGAATTGTTGTGTAGCCTTTTGATTGGTTTCAATTTTGCCGTGTTTTCTGTTTTCTCCATCTGTTTCATTAACAGTTTTTTTTAGGTACATCGTATTTATATCGCAAAGGACTGTGCTAGTACGGTACTAGTATTTCGTTTGTTCTAGTTTGCTTGCCTGTCACCAGGAGGTTTAAACAAAATATTCTGGCATGATATGAATGACAAAAAAATCTTTCCTAGTTAAGATATGATATGAATCAAATTGTCATCCCCGAACATTGTGCACGTTATTTTTTCGCAGGTAAAAAAACCTTCATTAAATTCATTTAACCGAAACAAAAAAATTAATGTAGCCGATCAACCAAAAGTTCCGTTCACTTATTCAAACAATTGCTTTGTATAATAATACATATTTCATTGTTTTTAGTTGTGAAGAATTATGTCCCATGACTAAATATTATCGATCGATCTCCCTGTTTTCAACGTAATGTCTCTTTAAGGCGATTCAGGTATGTGTTTTGTTTTCTTGATTCTCCGTGTAATACACAATAAGCATACTCACGCACATACATTAAAAACACACACACTCTTATAGAGTTAACTAGATTTTTTTACTCTTATTTCTTTTGAAAAACTTTCATTTTGAATTCTGTAACAAACATGTTTAAACATGTGTGTTACTGTTTATACCAATGTATTACCAACATGATTTGTGTTCTTTTCCGCATTTGTTTTTCTCCGATTTGCTTATATGTTAACAATTAAGATTAATTCTAATGCAATTATGCATGTTACGCCAATTATTATTGGATGACGTCTACCATCAATTCCACGGTCGTAGTCATTGGCAACAACTTTGGGCAATAGCATTCGACGTTTATTTGAAATGTTTAATTTTGAACAATGTCAGATATTGCATAAGAATGGGAATAACAGTACTATATTTGAAGAGTTGTCGCCGTCAATTTTGGATTTGATGTTCGCAAATATCAGTTTTATTATCGTAAAACTTCATTTGCGACCGTCAAATCCCCAACTGATGGTGACAACACTTCAAATACAGTACTGTTATCCCTATAAATCACATTCAAGCAAACATGATTAGGAAAAAAATTTGAAAGTCAATGCACTAGAAGTGCAATCTTATGAAATGGTAGACTGTTGTTCAGTGAATATGTATTGTATATTCTGTAATATTATGGAAATACAAATGATAAGATCGCCTTGAAGATTGAAGATGTATAAAAAACGTTGAAATACACGTTTTTGTGACTATTTCTTTCTATTTATGCTCAGTTAGTTTTTAGTCTCTTTATCAAATTAAGCATTTTAACATTCATATATATATATATATTCTTTTGTACTAAATTGTTAATGTCTGTAATAAATCATACTGAGCTCATTTAATGGGAAACGTTGATATCCTACATTGGTTTGACTTGAAAAGATTAAATGCAGTACATGTTTCCTCATTGCACATAATTATGCAAACATAACAGTTCACGCTTTCATGTATGCATAAAGCAAATTTGAATGGTAATATCGATATATAAACATAAGGGGTTGGGATGATATAAGGCATAAGTCAGTGGTGTCGAATTTGTACGTCACAGTAAATCTTTGGAGTCTATGTTTTTATTATTCCGAACTCTTTCAGACTCGAAGCAATTCATAGCTTTACATGTTGTATAACTACCTATCTATAGTTGAACAGCTTATGATGACCACTTGATGTCTTGGTTATTTGTATCCTTGGTTGCTTGCTGTCTTATTAACACACACCTAATATCTCCAATTATTTATATTTGACTCGAAATTTGCCAATCTGCCGGAATGTTTTAATTTTACCAAAATGCAAGATTTTTTAAATTTCTATAAAAAAAAATTTCTTTACGAAGATATAACGAATTAGGGCATTGCAATTTGATACAAGCACCAAGGATTGATTGGTGTAGAGCAAAATGGTCAGTAAGACTTCTCTATCCAAACAGAAAGACCTACTCTGTGGGCGTTTTTCTGGCTGTGTGCGGATGTGTAAATACACAGTCTTGTCTGTTTTAAATGGAAACGTTAAATCCAGTGCCTCGTGTGGGGATAGTTCCACGTTATCTGCACATTAAAAACGCATTGCTTCAACTATTTGAGAGGACCATAAACGTAGGTGATCTCTCTTTTTCGACTATCGAATTAGGGCACTTCATCTCGGTCTATCCATACAGAAATTATTCTTGTCACTTGATTTTTTGTCGTCATAAAAATGCATCAATGCTTGAATACACGTCGTTTTGGCTCTGTTGGAAGGGTTTTGTCATTAGTAATCATACCACATCTCCTTATTTTATATCATTATGTGTGCCTGAAACTTTTAGTAAATAACTATCAAAAAGTACTTACAAAAACATGCTTCATGATTTAGTAATCATTTTCAGATGACAGGTAGAATATTATGTATCCTTATGTACATGTAATCTCTTTCATGGCTTTCATTTTTTTTGCTGTTAATTTTCCTGATTAAGGTAAAAACGTCCGTTTCTCAAATTGAAGTCCAATCTGACCGCCATATTATCAAAACAAGTTATAATTTTTTACTTTCCCATCGATGTACTGTGTGGTGCCAAGTAAAACCAAAATCGATGTCCGATCAATCAGAGTCTATTTAAATCAATGTATAATATGATTTATTTTTGGGGGTTTAAGTTGCTCATCCAATTTTATCAATATAACGGAATTATAAAGAACTGTCGTAAAAGTTGGAGGTTTAGCTAGCTGTAAAACCAGATGAAATCTACCATTTTTCTTTGGAAAAAGCCTGTTCTAAGTCATGAATATGGAATTGTTTTTTCGCTTGTTCCATTGATTGATAGTGTACAATTTTTATGGATTTCCCCTTTTTAAATTTGCCTTGAAGTTGAGTATTTTTGTTATACTTTTTTAATTAACTTCATCCTAGTTTGATCTTTATTCCTTTTCTATGTACAAATGTAGTGTTGTTATGCTCCACTAACTTGCAAAAAAGTAGGGAAATTAAGTCCCTTATTTGCCCCAAATATAAGTGCAAATCAAAAAGTTAACATACATATTCTTTGTATATTATTTGTCATGACTAAATTAAGGTACAAGGTGTTCAAAAAATAAAGACGAATTTCACATTTAACGAGTTACCAATGATTGCAAAAACGTGACGACATTTTCTATTTTTTTTAAATTTTTGCATGATAATTCCTTTTTTACATCAATTATTTAGAAAGTAAGGAATTGGAAAAGTATGTGCGCAGCTAAGAAACAATTTTATATTTGATGAGATTATGTCAATAGTTATAATGAAGCTTTTATTAAATTATTTTGTTGTTTTGTCCACTATGAAAAAACTTTGCAAAACTACATAATTCAGTAGTTTCCTTCGTTTTCATGAAAACGTTGCATATTTTGGCGTAATTGTGACATTATAACATCAAAAATCATAAACAAATTGATTTCTATTTCTTGAAAATATGTATTTCCTAACATAATATGTGAAACAGTTCACAAAACCTCATCTTCTTTAATTGGCAAAACTAGGCCAGAATGTCCTTACTTCAATTTCTTTTGGTACTGAACGTTCCAGTAGAAAAGCCCATCCAACACAATAACTTTATAAAGTGTTTTTTTTTTTATTTCACACAGCTATTTCAGGATCATGGCAAGTATTTGGAGTCTGTGTGGTGTTTGTGATAATCGTCAGATAACCAAATCATCAGTAGTCTGGTGTTCTGAATGTAACGAAGGACTATGTGGAGATTTTAAGGAACATCACAATAATTTCAAGGAAACAAAAAACCATGAAACCGTGTCCATTGCAGAATACAAGAAGTTACCGAACGATGTCCTGAAAATCGCACAGATTTGCAAAATACATAATACGAAATTCGATCTTTTCTGTAGAAAACACGATTGTCCATGCTGTAAGAAATGTGCGAATGTTCACAGCGAGTGTAAAGGTTTAACTGACATAAATGAACTTATAAAGAACGTCAAAACTTCAAATGCCTTTTATGAAATTGAACAAACCATACTTGAAGTTTTCGAGAATATTAAACTAATCAGCAATAGCCGGGAAGACAATTATACATATCTAAAAAGCAAGAAAAAAGAAATTAGAGCAGAAATAAAACAAATCAGGACAAATATAACTCGTCACCTTGATAATCTTCAGGATAATTTGATGAAAGAATTAATTGCGACGGAACAAAACGAAAGCAGCAAATTACAGACGTTATTGACTTCTCTGTAAAAGAAAGAAAAAGACATCGCAATATACCAAGCAAACTTTTCTAAAATAAAACAGTATGCATCGGAGCTTCAAACATTTTTGTCTATGAAAAAAATCGAAAAAGATATTGCAGTCGAAGAAAAATTTGTTCAATCGCTTGTGAAAAATAACACCAAGAACTACGTCAATATTTCATGTCAAATTAACAAGTCTGTACAGGACATTACAACCATCGTGCAGAAGTTTGGAGAAGTCAGCGTTAGTTCTGATCCATGCGATGTTTCTATTCAGAATCAGAAGGACAGACAAGCCCAGATTATGGTAGCTCTGCCTACCGGGAATATCGATAACCTGACCCTGACGTTACAGAAACGTATAGATACAGAGTTGTCAAATATCCGAGGTTGTTCTATGCTACCCGATGGTAGGATGGTATTCTCCTGTTATGCCAAAGACATAATAAGAGTACTAAAATCAGACGGATCAACAGATTTCGAAATAGGTGAAACGTTTGATGTTGTATTAATTGGTGGTGAGTCTCTTGCTGTTACATCTAGCGAATCAGATAAGATTAATATAATCGACTTAAAGAACAAAATACTGAAGAAAACAATAAAAGTTAATTCACACAATGATGAAGTAGCATACAAAGACGGAAAATTGATTTATTGTGCCAGGAAGAAAGGACTACAGATGATTAGTCTTAGTGATGAATCCGTTACCAATGTTATCAATGCCAAACTTCCTCTCTATGCACATGATGCATACGTTACAACATTCGGTGAAAAACTGTTCTACACAAACAATAAGAGTGTGAACTGTTGTGATTATCATGGTAACATACTGTGGACGTTCTGTCATAGAAGTTGTTTGAAGTATCCACTCGGTATCTCTGTAGACAATGGTGGAAACGTGTTTGTAGTGGGATATCTTACCAACAATGTGGTCGTCATCTCTCCTGATGGACAAAATCACAGACAACTTTTATCATGTGAAGATGGATTGGATAACCCTACGGTTCTGCACTATGACCAATCTACCAATAAATTATTGGTCGCAAATGACTACAATGACGCGTTTGTGTATGAAGTTGAATTAGTATAATAATTCCAAAATGAAATTACCTGACAAAACAATATCTTTTATTTGTTTTAAAATATTTTTTTTTATATTTACTGATCTTGATTTGTTCTTTAAATTGTTGCAATTGGAATATGGTCTATTATAATTATTTCTATCATTAAAAGCCAATGTTAGCTTGTGACAAGTGTAGAACATCACATTTTAACAGTAAAATTAGGAAGAACATGGTATTTTTATTAATTAAGAAAATTGTTTTTGTGCTAAGTAACATTCTAATTAGTCAAATATTTTCAAACTGATTCTTATCACACATGAGCTGTTCTTATCCCTTGTCGTCCGTCGTCTGTTAACTTTGACGAAAATCTTGTTTTTAGAATCTTCCGGGCTAATCGGAACCGACCTTGTCTATGATCATATGTTGGTATCTATTTTAAAACGTGTATCAGGTGAGCCCGATATGACTAAACATAGAACATAGGGTAAAATGCAAGTTTTGTTTTATCCTGAAAACTGCTATAGAAAGAGAAAATCTCACAACATCTTGATCCCATGTCAATGTTCAGCTTTTTAATGAGCCTAGGGAAAAAAAAACTATACATATTTTAAATAATATGACTTTATACTGTGATGATCTTTTAATATGATCTCAAGAATATAGGTAGTTTCTTTTTAGTTGCTGTCTTTTGATGGACTTCATTTCTCTGTGTCTCATGCTTTGTAGAGAATTTTATTTCTCTATCTCCACTTGTGTTATACTTGTACAATGTACTAAATAAAGTTACATGGGAGCAGCCATTTGTAAACGGAATCCATAGAGATATAAATAACTGAATGTCTGTGATTGGTTGTTATATCAATTGCATATTTTTTCCCCTTGAATAAAATATAAATAAGATTTCATGCAAGCACAACTTTGTCCTTAAAAGTATATTATCAAGGACCGGAATGTTTTGTTAATTTGAGAAAAGAAAAAGCATCATAAAACGCTATGGGACCCAATATACTTAAGCACCATACAATCACAAAATATATATCGTGCTCCTATTTGAAAAATCCCTTTATCCATAGATAATTTATCAAAAGCGCAAAACTTAATTAATCAATCAATTAAAGGAATATACTTGGGGTATTGGAGCCAACTCTTACACAGGTATTTGAAGTCATTTGTGCGTTTTAATCTATCTGTAATTGAAACATTGATCACACATTATGTTGTTTACATTTGTTTATGAGAATGAAGCAAGACAAACTCTGAAACAGTGGTAACATTATGCTACGCTACACTGCAGTTACTCCTTTTCAAAATCACAAGATTTTGAGGTTGCGCTTAAATATTAACAAAATTATTTATCAAATTCTTCGAATTGTCAATTTTTGTCTCGCCTGAGATGAAAGAGGGACGAAAGATACCAGAGGGACAGTCAAACTCATAGATCGAAAACAAACTGACAACGCCATGGCCAAAAATAAAAAGACAAACAGACAAATAATAGTACAGATGACACAACATAGAAAACTAAAGACTAAACAACACGAACCCCACCAAAAACTGGGGGTGATCTCAGGTGCTCGGGAAGGGTAAGCAGATCCTGCTCCACATGTGGCACCCGTCGTGTTGCTTATGTTATTACAAATCCGGTAAAGTCGCAGTATGCGAGACATAGGTATTACTATCCGGCGTAAATTGTTTGTTTAAAGCTTTATATTTAAGAAGAAAGAAAACCTGGGTACTTCATATCTTGTATGAAGATACCTTATGTTACGAAGTTTCCGTCTGCCATATGTTCAATGTCCTTGACCTCATTTGCATGGTTCAGGGACAGCTTGAAAAAAAGTTTTTTTGTCATGTGAATTTCTCACTTATTATGAGTAATAGGATAACCATATTTGGTATATGGGTTCCTTGCAACGTCTATATGTCCGTCAGACAGGGTTCACCTGACTTCGACCTCATTTCATGGATCAGTGATCAAGGTTAAAGTTACGTGATAAGGTCCGTTTCTCAAATACTTTAAGCAGCTGTAAACTATATGTGGTGTATGGAATGACTGTAATGGGTACATGTCAGTTTGGCAGATTTCATCTGACCTCAAACCTCATTTTCATGGTTCATGGGTTAATGTTAAGTTTTTGTGTTTTGGTCTGTATTTCAAGTACTATAAGCAACAGGTCAACTATGTTTGGTGTATGGAATGATTGTAAGGTATACATGTCTGTCTGGTAGTTACCATCTGGCCTTGACCTCATTTTCATGGTTCATTGGTCAATGTTAAGTTTTTGTGTTTTGGTCTGTTTTTCAAGTACTATAAGCAATAGGTCAACTATATTTGGTGTATGGAATGACTGTAATGGGTGCTTGTCAGCCTGGCAGGTTTCATTAGACCTTGACCTCATTTTTCATGGTTCTTTGGTCAATGTTTTTGTGGTTTGGTCTGTTTTTCAAGTACTATAAGCAATAGGTCAACTATATTTGCTGTATGGAATGGCTGTAAGTTATATATGTCTGTCCGGCAGGTATCATCTGACTTTAACCTCATTTTCATGGTTCATTGGTCAATGTTAAGTTTTTGTGTTTTGGTCTGTTTTTCAAGTACTTCGAGCAATAGGTCAACTACATTTGGTGTATGGAATGGTTTTAAGGTGTATATGTCTTTCTGGCAGGAATCATCTGACCTTGATCTCATTTTCATGGTTCTTTGGTCAATGTTAAATTTTTGTGTTTTTTGTGTGTTTTTTTTAAGTACTATAAGCAATAGGTCAACTATATTTGGTGTATGGAATGACTGCAATGGCAGCATTTAGCTGACCTGAGTTTCTGTGATGTTTTTAGTTGAACCTTTATCTTGAAAATTTTCAACATAAAATCAATGGTCAGTAAAGCAAGCGAGACATTTCAGCGTGTGCACTCTTGTATTAAACAAATATACAATATATATTATATTTGAAGACGATGAAGTATACACAAGAAAATTCAACGAAGGATTTAGAACTTTATTTCGTGTACAAACAAAACACGCACTACCCACACACCGGGGTGAAATGAGTGACAAAAAAACACATGGTGTGTCAGGAAATAAACCCAGATATATCGTTGAAACGAGAGCACCTGGATGCAACTACAGCTATTTTGAACAAAAAAGATGTTGTAGTTAACTTTCCTGTTGGTTTCGGGAGGAAAATACTTTTCCATGCTCTTTCAGGTACGTGGAAAACATGAATTCAGAGAGAAATGAATATTCCAGGGGTGCCTATAAAATGCGAAACGAAATAGAAACGAAACAGAAGAAACGAAATAAAATGAACGAAAACAAAACGAAACGAAACGAATACGAATTAACGAAACGAAACAAATTTTTAAAAACGAAGAGAAATAAGAATAACTAATATAAATACAATATAATTCACTCTTTCCGTTTAAATTTTAGAATTGATGGATCAGTTAATGCCTCCCAATTCGTTCTGTATATATTTCTTCCATATGTGCATAAGTTTAGATCAATTCTGATCTAAAATAAAACTTAAACTGAGGGCAAACAAGTTGTATAAAGAAGAACAACGAGTTGATGAAATACCGAGAAAGAGGCTGGACTCAAAAGATTGATCCGTATATTAACAGACACCTTGTCTTAGTTTAGTGCGAATGAATATAGTTACATTAAATGTAGACTGCAGGCAGAGCTAAGTTTTTAGAACTTCAATAAAATTGTCAAATGAAAACGTTTTTTTTCGAAATTTGTGGAAGCTTTTTGGAGTAAGAAAATAGTTTCAATGGTCAAATTTTTATATATCTTTTCTGAATAATAATGATTATTTCTACAAATAAATGGACCCTACTTCTGTGCATCATTATATACTATACTAAAACACATATGACAGACATGAACCAACGACAACTACTAAACTACAGGCTTCTGACTTGGGACAGGCACATACAGAATGTGGTGGGGTAAAACATGGTTGTGAGCGCTTAACCCTCATATAACCTGGGACAGTGGCGTAACAGCACAACATAAGAACAAACTATAAAAATCAGTTGAATATGGTTCAACTCATCAGATCGATATAAAGCAGAAAAACGTCTAACAAACCGGATGTGTCAGGGTATTTATACATCCATAACAACAAAAAAGACACTAAGTACAGATCTAAGAGAACTTGCAGTTACTGACATCTAGTTTAAAGCAGCCAATAACAAATATAAACAAATCATGTATCTTAGACTAAAATATCAATCAGTACACATCGAACATCCAATGCATTTAGTGTAAAGACGTCATTAACAGTCAGAGAAAAAAAAACATGAATTGTATTTCTTTGATCAAACATTGTATATCTGAGATCAATTATTGCACGAGGCCAGATGGAGTATTTGATTTTCTTTGAAAATTCTGTTTATCGATATTATATACCACAGTTGACTAGTTATGAGGATAAAAGTTATAGTTATAGTTATACAAACTGGTTTTTTTAAAGATCAGGGCTGATATGCATAAAACTACTTAAGTTAAGATATCCAATCGTAGTACTAATTTATCGTAGGACGTGTAGAAAAATCTGTCCGGGCGGAACATTTTAAGTAGCTTTATGCATACGCGCCAAAAGAATCAATCTATATTACTCATTTGTATATAACATGTTGAAAACGGAAGTGGATTCTAATGTAACTGCTGTTTGATATGGGGCATAAATTTGTACAAATTGAAATATATTTCTAAATTATGAAGATTGTTTAATTTTTCGATATGCTCATATATCTTTAAAGTGCCTTGAGGTGCACTGAACAACAACTTATATTCTCTTAGGGAACTCTTAACAATGTACTTTCATAATATCACAACAATTGTAGGAAGTACTTAAACTTCGACTACATCAAAGAAAAACAATCGAAATCACGAGATAATACCCATTAACGGAAATGTTAGAAATTCTATAGTCTTTTGTAGACGAAAAGTGCGTCTGGCGTACACAATATCAACCCTTATTTTCAATTACTTGGTCTTTACCACTGCTTGTGGAGTTATTCTCCCGACGGGTATCACTTCTGTGTTGACATGCATTATTATTGATATGGTCATCGTTATAAATTCACTGTTTACAGACTAAATTTTTCGAAAAACGAAGGATTTTCTAATCTATTAGGAAAAGATTACTTTAGATGTATTAGGCAAACTTTTAGGAATTTTGGTTCCTTAATCATGTGTCAATGCTCTTCAAGTTTATTCT